GCTCTCCAAGAAATGTTTTTTTTTTTCAACCTCAATAATGATAAAATCAATCCTATATATAAGTTTCAAACTGTTCTAGAAAATCCTGCCACCAAAAAACCCCAAAATGTCCCTCAAATTGTGGACTTCAAATCACTCACCGACTCACTTAATCTTTCTCTTTTGTCATTAATATTGTTTGAAAAAGTTGTACGCCAAGCTGATGCAGTACGTACGACTTTCTTTTGACCACCACTGGGGCTGCCGAGTTAAGTCGGAGGCAATCCAACGGGGGCATTTTTTTTTTTTAAAATTTCTTCGGGGCATCATTTTTTTACTTGTTACATTTATTCTCAATCTTCGAACTTCATTTGCATTTCAATTCATCATATTTTCATTATAGTCCTCTATTTCATCTTCATCTCCTTTTTTCTCTTCAAGCACACGACATGGTCGATTTAGTCTTTAATCTCGAACGTGCATAGGCCATTAATCCCAATGAAAACACTTCCTAAGAGATTCTTCAAGAGATTCTTTATATACATATATAAACATTTTATGTGTTATAGAGAGTATCTTTAAATTTGGAGAGTCAAATATTTTTTGCACTCTAATAATGCTCTTTATTTTTGTTCTTCGTTTAGCTTTTCTCAGAAACATTTAATGAATTATTCTCGTATTTTGTTTAACATATTTTTTTATATGTCAATGGTCAATCAATTTAAATGATATTTGAATAGTTTAAGAAGTAAAGTATTGAAATCTGTAAATTATTAAATGTAATTATTGTATATTAATTTTATTTTTCAAAAAATATTTAATCATATTCATACAAATCCAAAGTAACAATTTACTTCGTGCCATAATTAGTAAAGTGTGTAATGTGTTTATCTTCGTTTCTTCAAAAACACGTAATTGTCAAAGGAATAACACTAAAAATCAAGTAACCAATTGATTCATAATTAAATAATTGACATTTAATGAAAGTTGGGGTTGGTAAAACAAAATGAACACAATTTAAGCCCGACAAATTTGAATCATGCTTAGTACCAATCGTTAGGTAGATCTCCATAATGCGATTTTGATAGTTTGATTGGATTTGAAGTGCTTTACATAATGCGATTTTGATAGTTTGATTGGATTTGAAGTGCTTTACATATCAAATTGAGAAAGTGAAGGGAGAGAGATGGTTAGATGGCAAAGTGAAAAAGATAAATTTCAATATGATAAGATTCGGATTGGATCGACCAATTTGACTAAAAAAGGTAAAGTAAAAACTTTATTCGCGAATTTTTCTACTACTTAATTGAATTTATCGAATTATTTATCTAAATTTCTAAAAATGAGTTTTTTTTTTCCCTTGATCACCTCTCATGGTTCTATATAATCAAATTTAGATTCTCATTCCATACATCAATAATAATAAAAATCAAAGTGAAAAAATATGTCGACTTTAAAAATCGCAAATATTCTGTGCTCAGAACCTCCAACCCCACTTTTAGCTCGTGTTTGTTTCCAATTTTGTTCTAATCATTTTAATACATTTTCCAACCGT